CACACCTATGTTGGTGCCCATGACGCCAAAGCCAAACTTTGTTGTTGTTAAGGGCCCCTAGAGGGGGGGTTCAGTATTATCCTGCTGCTGCTTTCCCCCCAAAAGCCAGTAAACACTACACCTAAATCGGGGGCAAAAGTTTTCTGGGGGATTTGAACTATGCTCTGAAAAAAAGTCATATTTGGGAAAACCCAAAATCACCTACCTACCCATATCAGGGCATCCCAATTTACCCACCCCCCCGGTAATTTTTTTAGTCCCCCTGAAATCGGCCCAAAAAAAGTCTAGGACAGAGCGTCCCCAGACTTTAGCTTGGGGCCCATTTTTATTGCAGTTATTCAGGTAAAATTACCCTGATATATTTAAACTAGGGGAGTTTTGATCAAATTTCTCCTAGCTCATCTTAACCTCAAAATTATTAACTAGTGATTTCTTTGTTGGGAAAAACCAAGTCAAGTGATCCCTTTTAATTATTAACAGTCTGTGTAATCCTTGGGATTTGTGCTTAGTTTTTGTTTTTTAAAAATAATGAGATGTAATAAAAAAAACAGGGGGGCCTTTGAACAAAACTCTGGGTTTGGGATGGCCCGGGGCAAAGGCAGGTTGTTAAGGGCTACTGCGGGATTTTTTAGGGTAGCTCCTGGGCAAAGAGGCTGACCAGGTTTCCCCACTTAAAAAGAACTCAGTGTGAATGCTTTGAGAAATACCCAAAACAGTGAACGGACAACCCCTGCTCGTTTCAGCGTAAATAGTTTTTAAAGGGTTGTGGGATTTTAGAGGTTTGGGTGTTGAAAGTCAGGACCTCCCGCACCCCCCCCTCTCCGCTGGGGGGGGGGGAGGGGAGGGGGGGTGTAGTAAAAAAGTGGGCCCCTCATAACGCCTCACCCCTGCGCGTTTTCCCCCGCCTCATCCCCCCAACTCCCAGCACCCCCCCATCTGTAAGGGTACTTTTCCCCCCCAACCCCCCGTGTCCCCGATGGCACTGCAGGGGGTGCCGGGCTCACAGGAACTTCCACTACAGGGACAGCATCGTGGAGTTCGACTGCGAGGCAGCTGCCAGGTGTGCCACAGGCAGTGTGTACTCAGTTCCTCAAGCTTCAATATCCGTGCACACGAGGGCCTGGGATCTTCAATCAACTTGGCGTCTACCAGGACGCTGACATGTCCCTAGGACAGCTCTCCATCTGGCTGCTAACGGAGTCACTGGCTTCTTGGACCTCTTGGGGAGGGTCGATGGTGCTCGTGCAAGCAGCAGCTCCCTGGGCAACTTGCTGCTGTTTGCAATTGCTGCCTACCGAGGAGAGACAGGCACCTAGCAACATCTGTTGTTGGGGCAATGGATGAATTCCCTACTATGTTTGTTAACTGCTCATTACTCTGTAATTTGTCTATGACTGTAATCATGTCATAACGTGTTTATCATTCATTACCTTTGAAACTTGTCATGATTGTGACCAGCTCTACCTGGAGCTCATTACCTTTGTAAATTCTCATGATTAATGTTTTTATGATTCATTACCTTTGCAATTATTCATGAGTGTGACCAGCTCAACCTGGAGCTCATTACTTTTGTAACTTGGTCATGATTATGACCAGATCTAGTTCATTACCTTTGTAACTTGCTCAGCTATCAAAACTTTGGAGTCCAGTCCCCTGGACCAATTATGTACCTCTGTAATCTTTTGACTACCGCCCACAGGATGGGTATGGGGTGCATAATAAACATATTAAACTAAGGGCTAGTAACCCAGGATAACCCATTTAAGCTTTGTCATCAGACTGGCTTATTTTCACAGGGTTATTCAATATTTTCCACCCAGTTTGCGACCCACACCAGTCGACTAACATCCAGGTACCTACTGACCAGGGGCCAGGAGCTATGACTCAGCCCTTGTAACCACAATTAGTTGAGTACTGCATGTGAACACGTGTAAGGGTACATGCTCAATGTTTCCACTCGTCTGGGTATCGAATCATGATCATTCAGTGTGTCAACTGAGGCCGCTACCCAGGGCCGGATTAAGGTATGTACTTTAGGGACTGCAGCCCAGGGGCTTCCGCCAGCTGGAGGGCCTCCGCCAGCTGGAGGGCCTCCGCTAGCTGGAGGGCCTCTGCTAGCTGGAGGGCCTCCACTAGCTGGAGGGCCTCCGCTAGCTGGAGGGCCTCCACTAGCTGGAGGGCCTCCGCTAGCTGGAGGGCCTCCGCTAGCTGGAGGGCCTCCACTAGCTGGAGGGCCTCTGCTAGCTGGAGGGCCTCCACTAGCTGGAGGGCCTCCGCTAGCTGGAGGGCCTCCGCTAGCTGGAGGGCCTCCACTAGCTGGAGGGCCTCCGCTAGCTGGAGGGCCTCCGCTAGCTGGAGGGCCTCCACTAGCTGGAGGGCCTCCGCTAGCTGGAGGGCCTCCGCTAGCTGGAGGACCTCCGCTAGCTGGAGGACCTCCAGAGTTGTTCACAACAGCTTACAATTTACTGATATTTTGGAGAAATTTGTTTCCAAGAAATTACGCAAAGGAAATTAATTATGATAAGCATTGTAAAAATAAATTTAATATTACTTTATTTTTTCCTTTTGAAAATATCTCTGGGGGCCTCACAGCACCTGTGGCCCCAGCGTCCTACAAAATATTAATCCGGCTCTGCCGCTACCAATTGAGCCACGAGCACAATTATAATATAAACATCCCAGGATATTACATAGGGATCCTTTCTGCAATTTTATAAGCCCTGCAAGCTTTCTGTCTGCCACAAGAGCATGCTGGGCTGCCACAGTCATTCAACGACTTGATGGAAGCAAATTATATCCTGCTGCCCCTGTTCACCTAGTAAGTAAGGTATCTGGATGTTAGTCACCTTACACCTGCTGTCCGTTTCACCTAACAGTAAGTAGGTACATGGTTGTTAGTAGACTGGTGTGGATGGCAGCCTGTGGGACAAGATTGGAGGATCAGTTAGTTTAATATGTTTATTATGCACCCCATACCCATCCTGTGGGCGGTAGCCAAAAGATTACAGAGCTACATAATTGGTCCAGGGACTGGACTCCAAAGTTTTGATAACTGAGCAAGTTACAGAGGTAATGAACTCATAATTTACAAAGGTAATGAACTCCAGGTAGGTCTGGTCACAATCATGACAAGTTACAAATGTATATACAGATTACAGAGGTACGTAATGGGTCCAGGGACTGGGCCCCCAACATTTTGATAGCTGAACTAGGTACAAAGGTAATGAACTCACAAATTACAAAGGTAATGAATCCTGTAAGAATGGTTACTTACGTTTATACATGGCTACAATCATGAACAAATTATAGAGTTATAAGCAATTCACACTTCCACACCCGGTCACAACTGTAATGAGTTATTGGTGCAAATATTGACTGTTGAGTCACAATGTAAATAAGACAGACAGTCCTCGATGACGAACTGACTTTCTTTGGTTATCCTGGGTGGCTTAGTCAGTGCGCCATCGAGGACTGACTAACCCTCCCTACCCCTGGTTATCCTGGCTGACTAACCCTCCCTACCCCTGGTTATCCTGGCTGACTAACCCTCCCTACCCCTGGTTATCCTGGCTGACTAACTCTTCCTGCCCCCTACCCCTGGTTATCCAGGCTGACTAACCCTCCCTACCCCTGGTTATCTTGGCTGACTAACCCTCCCTACCCCTGGTTATCTTGGCTTGACTAAACCCCCCCTACCCCTGGTTATCCAGGCTGACTAACCCTCCCTACCCCTGGTTATCTTGGCTGACTAACCCTCCCTACCCCTGGTTATCTTGGCTGACTAACCCTCCCTACCCCTGGTTATCCTGGCTGACTAACCCTCCCTACCCCTGGTTATCCTGGCTGACTAACTCTTCCTGCCCCCCTACCCCTGGTTATCCAGGCTGACTGTAACCCTCCCTACCCCTGGTTATCTTGGCTGACTAACCCTCCCTACCCCTGGTTAATCTGGCTGACTAACCCTCCCTACCCCTGGTTAATCTGGCTGACTAACCCTCCCTACCCCTGGTTAATCTGGCTGACTAACCCTCCCTACCCCTGGTTATCCTAGCTGACTAACCCTCCCTACCCCTGGTTATCCTGGCTGACTAACCCTCCCTACCCCTGGTTATCCTGGCTGACTAACCCTCCCTACCCCTGGTTATCCTAGCTGACTAACCCTCCCTACCCCTGGTTATCCTGGCTGACTAACCCTCCCTACCTGGTTATCCTGGCTGACTAACCCTCCCTACCCCTGGTTATCCTGGCTGACTAACCCTCCCTACCCCTGGTTATCCTGGCTGACTAACCCTCCCTACCCCTGGTTATCCTGGCTAACTAATCCTTCGGGTTAAACAAATCAATAAATTTTGTCGTACCTCAGCCGCTCAGGACGCACTTGAAAACTTAATTAATCATCAGTCATTTGGTCTGCCCGAAATGCCCCGGCATGTTAGTGACTTTCTTTGCACTTAGCAAATCAATATTGTAATTACACATCGTAAACTATGCAAGGAAATAAAATCCTTAATCCTTAATCAGCCAATTCATAAGTTTTTTCTAAGCCAAAAGATAGCCTGTTTTTGATACCTCAGGTGGCAGTGAGTGGGGTAAGTAAGTATAATTATTGAAATTGAAACTGAAATTGAAATGTTTATTTCTCTGTAAGAATTACAATGTGGGGTTTACATATTATAGAATATTAATTACAATTTGTGGTTTACATATTAAATATGAATTACAGATAAGGCCACTAGCATGCCTAGGCATTTCGGTTAGTTACACACAAATAAAATTATCATGCATTGTTTAAAGTATGTATAAATTGCCTAGGATAACCTCCCAAAAGTTGGAAAAGTGGCCTTTTACCACTGGAGTCCTTGTAATATCTAAGCTGGGGTTTAGGCCAGGAAGGAAGGAAGGTTCACTTGTCCTAATTAGGAATATATTATTTGTATTTCCATGTTTTCTGGGGAGGGATTATTATTATTATTATAATCAAAAAGAAGCGCTAAGCCACAAGGGCTATACAGCGCTCTGGGGAGGGAGTAATTTGTTTTCTCATCAATTCCAGCCCAGATTTAAGCAATGTATTTTTCCTGGACTCCAGAGAAGCTGAAATGACGAGAGCAAAGTTTTAGTGGCCTTCAAAACCTTTGATAACAACAACATCAAGAACAGAGACGTAGAAAAAGTTACTTTTATGGTACAATATATTAAAGTAGACAAGTTACTTTCCTGGTACAGTATGTTAAACAAGTTACTCTCCTGGTACAGTATATTAAATAAGTTACTTTCCTGGTACAGTATGTTAAACAAGTTACTTTCCTGGTACAGTATGTTAAACAAGGTACTTTTCTGGTACAGTATGTTAAACAAGTTACTTTCCTGGTACAGTATGTTAAACAAGTTACTTTCCTGGTACAGTATGTTAAACAAGGTACTTTTCTGGTACAGTATGTTAAACAAGTTACTTTCCTGGTACAGTATGTTAAACAAGGTACTTTTCTGGTACAGTATGTTAAACAAGTTACTTTCCTGGTACAGTATGTTAAACAAGTTACTTTCCTGGTACAGTATGTTAAACAAGGTACTTTTCTGGTACAGTATGTTAAGGTACTTTTCTGGTACAGTATGTTAAACAAGTTACTTTCCTGGTACAGTATGTTAAACAAGGTACTTTTCTGGTACAGTAAGATAAGATAAGATAAGATTTCGTTCGGATTTTTAACCCTGGAGGGTTAGCCACTCAGGATAACCCAAGAAAGTCAGTGCGTCATCGAGGACTGTCTGACTTATTTCCATTGGGGTCCTTAATCTTGTCCCCCAGGATGCGACCCACACCAGTCGACTAACACCCAGGTACCTATTTGCTGCTAGGTGAACAGGACAACAGGTGTAAGGAAACGTGTCGAAATGTTTCCACCCGCCGGGAATCGAACCCGGGCCCTCCGTGTGTGAAGCGGGAGCTTTAGCCACCAGGCCACCGGGCCAGCCACCAGGCCACCGGGCCAGTATGTTAAACAAGTTACTTTCCTGGTACAGTATGTTAAACAAGGTACTTGACTCAAGAAATCGTAATGACACGATTGCAAAAAAACCATACCCCCGGCCGGGATTGAACCCGCGGTCATAGAGTCTCAAAACTCCAGCCCGTCGCGTTAGCCACTAGACCAGCTAGCCACAATAAGATTCATCCAACTAGGTATATTTCTACACCATAGGAAAGTTAGCACAGGCACCTCTGTGACCACAAATGCAAGTTTTTACAGACGAATCTCCAGCTAGCGTGGCCGTGACGAACTCTAGCTCAAGTCCCTTCACTGCCGTCAACATGACTCAAGAAATATACCTAGTTGGATGAATCTTATTGTGGCTAGCTGGTCTAGTGGCTAACGCGACGGGCTGGAGTTTTGAGACTCTATGACCGCGGGTTCAATCCCGGCCGGGGGTATGGTTTATTTGCAATCGTGTCATTACGATTTCTTGAGTCATGTTGACGGCAGTGAAGGGACTTGAGCTAGAGTTCGTCACGGCCACGCTAGCTGGAGATTCGTCTGTAAAAACTTGCATTTGTGGTCACAGAGGTGCCTGTGCTAACTTTCCTACGGTGTAGAAATATACCTAGTTGGATGAATCTTATTGTGGCTAGCTGGTCTAGTGGCTAACGCGACGGGCTGGAGTTTTGAGACTCTATGACCGCGGGTTCAATCCCGGCCGGGGGTATGGTTTTTTTAAACAAGGTACTTTTCTGGTACAGTATGTTAAACAAGTTACTTTCCTGGTACAGTATATTAAATAAGTTACTTTCCTGGTACAGTATGTTAAACAAGTTACTTTCCTGGTACAGTATATTAAACAAGTTACTTTCCTGGTACAGTATGTTAAACAAGGTACTTTTCTGGTACAGTATGTTAAACAAGTTACTTTCCTGGTACAGTATGTTAAACAAGTTGCTTTTCTGGTACAGTATATTAAACAAGTTACTTTCCTGGTACAGTATGTTAAGGTACTTTTCTGGTACAGTATGTTAAACAAGTTACTTTCCTGGTACAGTATGTTAAACAAGGTACTTTTCTGGTACAGTATGTTAAACAAGTTGCTTTTCTGGTACAGTATGTTAAACAAGGTACTTTTCTGGTACAGTATGTTAAGGTACTTTTCTGGTACAATATGTTAAACAAGTTACTTTCCTGGTACAGTATGTTAAACAAGGTACTTTTCTGGTACAGTATGTTAAACAAGTTACTTTCCTGGTACAGTATGTTAAACAAGTTACTTTTCTGGTACAGTATGTTAAACAAGTTACTTTCCTGGTACAGTATGTTAAATAAGTATGCTTAAGCATATTAGACAGGAGCAAATGGAGACAAATGGTTTTTAGGACTTAACGTTCTGTTGGAGTGTGAGCAAAGTAACATTTATGAAGGGATTTAGGGAAACCGGCGGGCTGGACTTGAGCCCTAGAGACAGGAAGTACAGTGCTGGCACTCTGAAGGAGGGGTGTTAGTGTTGCAGTTTTATAACTGTAGTGTAAGTGCACCTCTGGCAAGATAATGATGGAGTGAATGATGATGAAAGTTTTTCTTTTTTTGGGCCACCCTGTCTTGGTGGGAAACAGCCAATGTGCTAATAAAATAAAATAAAAAATGTATTGAACACTTAACATATTGTTTCAGAAACAACAAAATCTGTTTGTTACAGAATTGTCTGCTAGTCTTACTGTGATAGCAAAACAATGTTTATGCATAACACTTGCCATTTCCAGCCATCCATGCCCCTCTTGTTAAGTTTTTTATATCTAGGGTTCATTGTACTGTACAGTACAGTATAGTAAGTCTTCACTTACATCATCAATAGGTTCTTGGAAGGAAACTGTAACTTTAAGTGAAGCAACGTACAATAGGACCCCCATATCCACGTGGGATACATTCCAAGGACCTGCTGTGGATACCGAAACCACGAATAGTAGCAGACCTTATATATAAGTCCTATACAGACCTGTTTTAAAGTTTAATTGATAAATTGTGCACAATAAGTGGAGAATTATCACTTTTTCACTGATGGGAAGCATTTCACGGCTTCTCTTAGACTCTGAAGAACTGCCAGCTTCTCTACTTTTGCACTTTGGGGCCATTATTATGCAAAATTAGGATGTATATTTGGGCCACAGGAAACATTAGATAACTGAAAGTGCAGATACTGAATCAGTGGATGCAGGGGTTCTGCTGTGTAGTGAAATTGATATAAACAAGACACCTCGCTGTCCATCGTCAATCCTCTTTAAAACTTCTAGTTTTGTTTCCAGTGTTACACTTTTTCTCTGTTTTTTGTGGCCAGACATCAGGGGTGCACAGTGCACCATTAGCACTCATTGCATAAATATTCGCAGAGCGAGAACTGTAAGGAGCACCTCCTATCACCATGCACTTCAACAACAAATAATAACAAATATGGCGGGCTCTCTGAGCTATTTCGTACTGCATTGTTTATTGACATGCATTTGTATGATTATTGTATATTTTATGAATTTTCATTTTACAATAATTTGTATTCGTTGTATTCATTCAGTTTTTTTTCATCAACATTATAATGAAAGGACATTAAATGAAACATCGTTATTCAAGAACTTGCTGTACTGTACTGTACTTTATTAGTTATCATAAATTATAGGAATATGTTTATTTTTAGTTAGTTTTTTTAAGTGCTTACAATTCTAGCTTCCTTCTTTCAGGCTTGTTTCTGCAGCATGGAGAACGCTTCATGAAATAGTGGTTGGCTGAAAGTCTTTTTGGCATCAGCACACCGAAGAGTTCAGAATGTTACAAAATCACCATATTGCATTTCCATCTAGCCAGTTTTACACTATATGGGCTCTGTTGGGCATGTTCATGACTGTTGGAATATATGGAGAGTACTACACTAACTGCTCCTCCTTGCTAGCTGGCCAGTATCTCTGCACTGAAGTAAACGTCGACCCTCGCACACAGCAGCCTCAAGGTTGTACCAGAGCCGGCCGAGCCAAGGTTCTGTGCACCTCGGCTCCTGGCATCGTTTGTACAGAAACTAATAATGGAACTTTTGAACGTGAAATTCCATGCAAGTAAGTTTATTTATTTATTTATTTATTTATTTATTTATTTATTTAAGTTACTTCATCTATGAATAATATATGTTTATGAAATAAAATAATTATATTACTTGTTGATTTCTGTGACTTTGTATATATGTATATACGTATATGAGCAAAATTAACTATAGGCAGGCCCTGCTTTACAGTGCTTCACTGTACAGTGTTTCGCTAATGTAGCGGTTTTCAGTTATACCCATTCGTCATTTATTCAGACTTTCTCCAATAAATATATCACAACTCACTATAAGCTAAGGACAAATATTTTAAGGTAAGTAATGTGTGTAGTGTACGTATATGCATTTTTTTGGCCTAGTCCTATTACTCACTTAATATATTGTAAACTTGTTATCGGGCTTTTATTTTATTACGGTGGACCCTCGGTTTTTGTCGGTCTCCGTTATTGCCGATTTCAGTTTTGGCGGACTTTTTTCGTCGATTTTTGGCTTCCGTTTTCGTCGATTACCTCCGTTTTCAGTGATCGTACGGAACCTGCCTCCCACACATATTCTCAGCCAGTGTAGCATTGTTTCTCAGTGAGTGAAGGTATCCTACCAGGTCATGTGAAACATTTCGTAATAATCCATTGTTTTTGCCACTTGTTTATCATGTGTGACTGCTAAATAAGCGACCATGGCCCCAAAGAAAGCTCCTAGTGCCAGTGCTTTGGTAAAGAAAATGAGGAACACCGTAGAACTGAAAAAAGAAATCCTAAGAAAATATGTTAGTGGCATACGCATTGCTGAACTCGGCAGGATGTATGGGAAGTTTCCATGAACAATCAGCTCCATTGTGGCAAAGAGAAAAGAAATCATGGAAGCTGATGTTGTGAAAGGGGTGAATGCAATAACCGAACAGAGATCCCAAACAATTGAAGAAGTGGAGAAATTGTTGTTGGTGTGGATCAGAGAGAAAGAGTTAGCAGGAGATAGTGTTGTGCAGTCCATTATTTGTGAAAAGGCAAGGCAGTTGCATGAGGATCTCATAAAGAAACTGCATACCTGAAACAAGTGGTGATGAAGGTGAATTCAAGGCCAGCAAAGGCTGGTTCCAAAAAATTCAAGAAGCGAAGTGGCATACATAGTGTTGTAAGGCACTGTGAGGGTACCAGTTCAGACAAACAAGCGGCTGAAAAATTCATGCGGGAATTCAAATGTTATGTAGAGTCCGAAAAATTCCAACCCCAACAAGTGTGGGGGTGGGCCCGCCCCGGGTGACACCATTTAGGGGGTGACACCATAGAGCCTCTAAAGAAGGTGACACTAATGCACAAAACAGTGCTGCAACAAAATAAGAGAAGAATCCTTCATTACTATATAGCCTATTATATGATTACAGAGTACAAATATCCCTATACAGTAGACCCTCGACTAACGCTATTAATCCGTTCCTGAGAGCTCATCGTTAGTCAGAATAATCGTTAGTCAAGTTAATTTTCCCCATAAGAAATAATGGAAATCAAATTAATCCGTGCAAGACACCCAAAAGTATTGAAAAAAAAATTTTAACACATGAAATATTAATTTTAATACACACAAACTGAAGAAGACATGCACAGTTACATGACACTTACCTTTATTGAAGATCTGGTGATGATTGATGGGATGGGAAGAGGGGAGTGTGTTGATGGTCTTAGTGTTTAGAAGGGGAATCCCCTTCCATTAGGACTTGAGGTGGCAAGTCCTTTTTTGGGGTTACTTCCCTTCTTCTTTTAATGCCACTAGGACTAGCTTGAGAGTCACTGGACCTCTGTCGCACAACATATCTGCCCATAGAGGCCTGTACCTCCCGTTCCTTTATGACATTCCTAAAGTGTTTCACAACATTGTCAGTGTCACCATTAAACACTTGTTCAGGTTTCAGTCCTTCACTGTCTATGTACTCCTTGAATTCCTGCACATATTTTTCAGCTGCTTTTTGGTCCAAACTGGCAGCCTCACCATGCCTTATCACACTATGTATGCCACTACGATTCTTAAATCTCTCAAACCAACCTTTGCTGGCCTTAAATTCACTCACATCACCACTAGTTGCTGGCATTTTTCTAATTAAATCGTCATGCAACTTCCTAGCCTTTTCACATATGATCGCTTGAGAGATGCTATCTCCTGCTATCTGTTTTTCGTTTATCCATACCAATAACAGTCTCTCAACATCTTCTATCACTTGCGATCTCAGTTTCGAAAACATAGTTGCACCTTTGGCAAGAACAGCTTCCTTGATTGCCGTTTTCTTGGCCACAATAGTAGCGATGGTTGATCGGGGTTTTGTGTACAGCCTGGCCAGCTCGGAGACATGCACTCCACTTTCATACTTAGCAATGATCTCTTTCTTCATATCCATAGTAATTCTCACCCTTTTTTGCTGTAGGGTTGGCACTAGAAGCTTTCTTGGGGCCCATGGTGACTTATTTTGCAGGTGCAATCACTAAAAAGGCTGTGATAATATGAAATGTTCCAATTGTATGCTTGGAAGCGACCGCGGTGGCTGGCTGGCTTGTAAACACTGGCCAGAAGTGGACGCATCTCAGACGGAACGAATAGTGTTGGTCGAGTTTTTTAGCGGTAATCGAGGCAAAATTTTTGAGATAAAATGTATCGCTAGTCAGATTTATCGTTAATCGATGCCATCACTGGTCGAGGGTCCACTGTATAGGGAAAATCATTGATTTTGATGTAATAGATGATTTTTCAGGATTCAAGGCAAGGAAATGTAAGATCATATTCACTGAGATGTTACCTGTACTCAAGGTCAAATGTAAGATCAGATTCACTGAGATGTCACCTGTACTCAAGGTCAAATGTAAGATCAGATTCAGAGATGTTACCTGTGCTCAAGGTCAAATGTAAGATCAGATTCACTGAGATGTTACCAGTACTCAAGGTCAAATGTAAGATCAGATTCACTGAGATGTCACCTGTACTCAAGGTCAAATGTAAGATCAGATTCACTGAGATGTTACCAGTACTCAAGGTCAAATGTAAGATCAGATTCACTGAGATGTTACCAGTACTCAAGATCAAATGTAAGATCAGATTCACTGAGATGTTACCAGTACTCAAGGTCAAATGTAAGATCAGATTCACTGAGATGTTACCAGTACTCAAGGTCAAATGTAAGATCAGATTCACTGAGATGTCACCTGTACTCAAGGTCAAATGTAAGATCAGATTCAGAGATGTTACCTGTGCTCAAGATCAAATGTAAGATCAGATTCAGAGATGTTACCTGTGCTCAAGGTCAAATGTAAGATCAGATTCAGAGATGTTACCTGTGCTCAAGGTCAAATGTAAGGTCAGATTCACTGAGATGTTACCTGTGCTCAAGGTCAAATGTAAGATCAGATTCAGAGATGTTACCTGTGCTCAAGGTCAAATGTAAGGTCAGATTCACTGAGATGTTACCTGTGCTCAAGGTCAAATGTAAGATCAGATTCACTGAGATGTCACCTGTACTCAAGGTCAAATGTAAGGTCAGATTCACTGAGATGTTACCTGTGCTCAAGGTCAAATGTAAGATCAGATTCAGAGATGTTACCTGTGCTCAAGGTCAAATGTAAGGTCAGATTCACTGAGATGTTACCTGTACTCAAGGTCAGATCAGAACTATGTAGTGTTTCTCTGATATTGCAGTGTTTTTTCTGTATTTTTCAAGTTTTTTTTTTTTTTTTTTTTTTTTGCATTATTGAAGATGAATAACTGTAGGATCTGTTGCTTGTATTTGGGTTTGTTTCCCCAGTATTACTACGATTATTTATTTATCATTAATAAAGTTGAAAAGTATTCTCATTGCTAAACATTAGTCACTGGTCATGCAGTAGTGGTGAAACTAGAGTTTACTCCCCCCATCCCCCTGCCCTTGGATTTCATAGGGGTGGCACCAAAGATTCTGCTCCGGGTGGCACCAAAAATTCCGCCCCGGGTGACACCAACCCTAGTGACACCTCTGCTGGAATGGTTGAATGAAGTGTTTGGCCCCAGTGTGAAAAAATGCCTCCTGGATAATAAATTGCCTCTCCAATGCCTCCTGTTAATGGACAATGCTCCTGCTCATCCTCCAGACTTGGAAGACCAATTGTCTAAGGAATTCAGCCTTGTAACAGTGAAGTTCTTGCCTCCTAACACCACTCCTCTCATCGAACCCATGGACCAGCAGATCATTGCAAACTTCAAAAAACTGTACACCAAAGCAATGTTTCAAAGGTGCTTTGACATAACCTCGGACTGTGAATTGACCCTAAGAGAGTTCTGGAAGAATCACTTCAGTATCTTCCACTGCATAGGCCTTATAGATAAGGCTTGGCAGGGAGTGACTTCCAGGATGATGAACTCTGCTTGGGGAAACTTGTGGCCAGAGTGTGTCCAAAAGAAGGATTTTGAAGGGTTTGATGCTGACCCTGTCGATCCTACACCTGTTGTGCAATCAATTGTGGCATTGGGGAATTTCATGGGGTTGGATGTGAGTGGCGACGATGTGGAAGAGTTGGTGGAGGACCACAATGAAGAACTAACCACTGATGAGCTGCAAGAGCTTCATCTGCAACAGCAACAGACCACAACACAGGAAATTGTTGCAGAGGAGGAGGAAGGGAGATGGAAGCAGGTGCCTTCTTCAGAGATTAAGGAGATTTGTGCAGTGTGGACTGGAGTGCAGTCATTTGTGGAGCAACATACCCTAAGAAAGTTGTTGCAATCAGTGCTGGCGACTTACAATGACAATGCTGTCCCATTTTAGGCAAATCTTAAAGAGATGCCAGAAACAAACCTATCTGGACAGATATTTTGTGTGACAGGGGTCCAGTGACTCTCAAGCTGGTCCTAGTGGCATTAAAAAACAAAGGAAGGAAGTAACCCCAGATAATGACTTGGTACCTACAGCCCTTATGGAGGGGATTCCCCTTCCAAAGAATAACCTCTCTTCACTCTCCCCTCCTCCCTGTCTTCCTTCCAGCAACAACAGCCTTCAATAAAGGTAAGTGTCATGTTTAATGTTCATTCTTTTGTTCATGTAAATGTATATTTAAGGTAAAAAAAAATTTTGTGTTGATACCTCTGGGTGCCTGGAATGGATTAATTCAGTTTACATTATTTCTTATGGGGAAAATGGTTTTGGTTTTGGCAGATTTCGGTTTTGGCCGATGGCTCTGGAATGGATGAAACACGAAAACCGAGGATCCATTGTATTATTATTTTTTATTAACACATCGGCCGTCTACTACCAAGGCAGGGTGGCCCGAAAAAGAAAAAATTTCATCATCATTCACTCTGTCACTGTCTTGCCAGAGGTGCGCTTACACTATAGTTATAAAACTGCAGCATTAACATCCCTCCTTCAGAGTGTAGACACTTTCATATGCATTTGAAAGTAAAAACAGGCTATGTTTCATTTTATACTGAGTTTTGCATTACAGCAGTAGCCTGAAACATAACCTGCTGTATAAGCGGGGCCCTACAGTAGCCCGGAAACTAACCTGCTGTATAAGCTAAAAGTATGTTAAATTTATTGTTTAATTTGATACCTGGATTTAAGAGTGCAGTGTTAAAACAGTATCAAAAATGTGTAAGTAACATGTAATGTAGACAAATTTTTGACTGTTAAACATTATTGTGCCAAACAATTTGAGGAGGAAGTGAGAAAGTTTATAAATTAATTAATCTCCAGTCTTTTTCCTAACTCAATAACAAAGCCATATTTGTTATTTGAAAGATTTTGAAAGTGGCTCAACAATAAGATTTCTTTTAAGTTCAGTTCATTAATATTATATCTTTGAAAGGTATTACCGTATGTTGTATTTTATTTTCATTACCATCTCTGATAATGAAATTTGAAAGAAGTTGCTCAGAAATTAAATAAAAATAGGTTTACTTTTTAAATAACTTGACTCTCCAGAGACAGTCATTTTTAAGTCACTCATATTTTCCAATTTCAGATACACAAATGGCTATTCATATGAAACGGCCTTGCTGCTCTCAGTATTTCTGGGAATGTTCGGTGTAGATCGCATTTATCTTGGCTACTATGCAGTAGGTCTTGCCAAGTTCTGCACCCTGGGATTCTTATTTCTTGGGCAGCTTATTGATATTATTCTTATCGCTACACAAACAGTTGGACCTGCCGATGGCTCACACTATGTCATAAGTTATTACGGAGCTGGTATTGAGGTTATTCGTATGGATAATATGACTTACAGAATGCCCCAAGAAGATTGGGGTACAGTGGGCCGAGGTGTAAAGGATCTCTGAAGTTTCATGTGAAGAGGCCAGTAAGGGTCTTATAATTCATAAGATACGTAATTTATTTTTTCTTTAACGCACTGGCTGTCTCCCACTGAGGCAGGTGATCTGAAAAAAAGTTTTTCATCTTTGTTGCATTTAATAATTTACACAGGAGAAGGGGTTACTAGCACCTTGCACCTGGCATTTTAGTCACCTGTTATCACATGTCTGGCTACGGAAGAAGGATTCTTTCACAAGATATGAAAAAATACTATCTTTTGTGTTTATTTATTCTTGCGTCCACTTAATTTGTACATTATTTTCTGACTGCACAGTGTAAATATTAACCTTGTATTTCACCATATTTCTCTATATAGCACTGGCTGTTTTAAATACCTGTATATATTAGTCATAGTAACAAAAATAAAAGGTAGGATTTATCATACATTTCATACATGTATCTGTATTAACGAAAGCCTGTAATTGTTTTACATGATGGTAGGATTGCTGGTGTCCTTTTTTTCTGTCTCATAAACATGCAAGATTTCAGGTACGTCTTGCTACTTCTACTTACACTTAGGTCACACTACACATGCATGTACAAGCATATATATGTATATATACACATCCCCCTGGGTTTTCTTCTATTTTCTTTCTAGTTCTTGTTGTTGTTTATTTCCTCTTATCTCCATGGGGAAGTGGAACAGAATTCTTCCTCCGTAAGCCATGCGTGTTGTAAGAGGCGACTAAAATGCCAGGAGCAAGGGGCTAGTAACCCCTTCTCCCGTATAAATTACTAAATTTAAAAAGAGAAACTTTCGTTTTTCTTTTTGGGCCACCCTGCCTTGGTGGGATACGGCTGGTTTGTTGAAAAAAAAAAAAAAAAAAATCTGTATTAAACATAATCTCCATTAATATCTAAATGGTGTGGATCACATGTGTTGAACCGGCTCCAAAAATAAGATATATCATGGTCATTGGTGTCAAGAAGCATTTGGCTTCATGATCCATCTGGGTGATCACTTGCTGATGCCCAGGATGCAATTCTAGCAATGCCCAAGCTTTGAACACAATACTTTTTTTGGGTTGTGAGCTGACAAGCATTGAAATATTCTTTCTTCCATAGTTTTGTAATGCCAGTGAAGGATTCTGGATGTGAGGAACCAGAGCTACCTCTTCCTTGGATCAAACCTGATTACCTCCTATTCCCCAGATACACTATGATCTCTGTAGTTCTGCTTTATGAATATAATAATAATAATAATAATAATAATAATAATAATAATAATAATAATAATAATAATAATAATAATAATATAATAATTAATAATAATATAAGAACATAAGAACATAAGAACATAAGAACGAAGGAACACTGCAGAAGGCCTACTGGCCCATGCGAGGCAGGTCCAAGTCCCTACCGGCTTAAGCCAATGCACCCAACCTAGTCAGGTCAGGTCACATTGACTTAAGGGAGGAACACGGCAACCGACCTGTTAGCACAAGCTATCAGGTCCAACTCACACCCACCCACATCTACTCATGTATTTATCCAACCTATTTTTAAAGCTACACAACGTTCTGGCCTCTATAACGGTACTTGGGAGTTTGTTCCACTCATCCACAACTCTATTACCAAACCAGTACTTTCCTATATCCCTCCTGAATCTGAATTTTTCCAACTTAAAACCATTGCTGCGAGTCCTGTCTAGGCTAGACATTTTCAGCACACTATTTACATCCCCTTTATTTATTCCTGTCTTCCACTTATAAACCTCAATCATATCCCCCCTAATTCTACGTCTTTCTAGAGAGTGCAGTTTCAGGGCCCTTAGTCTATCCTCATAGGGAAGGTTTCTGATACATGGGATCATCTTGTCATCCTCCTTTGTACATTTTCCAGAGAATTTATATCCATTCTGTAATACGGTGACCAAAACTGTGCAGCATAATCTAAATGAGGCCTAACCAAGGATGTATAGAGTTGAAGAACAACCTGAGGACTCCTATTATTTATGCTTCTTGATATGAAGCCAAGGATTCTATTAGCTTTATTGCGAACACTTATGCACTGTTGTCTTGGTTTCAGATTACTGCTAACCAGAACTCCTAAATCTTTTTCGCAATCCGTAATATTAAGATCTACATTATTTAGTTTATATGTGGCATGGTTATTGTCCTGTCCAACATTTAGAACTTTGCATTTGTCTATATTAAACTGCATCTGCCACTTCTCCGACCACTGCATCAGTCTATTCAAATCCTCCTGGAGTGCTCGAATGTCCTCGTCAGAATGAATTCGACGGCCTATTTTGTGTCATCGGCAAACTTGCCGATGTCGCTCTTTATGCCCTCATCTATGTCGTTTATGTAGATTGTGAACAGCAGGGGGCCAACACTGACCCTGTGGAACACCGCTCGTGACGCTTCCCCACTCTGATTTCTCCCCATTTATGCAAACTCTCTGCTGCCTATTTGTCACCATGCCTCTATCCAGGAAAAAATTTCTCCTCCTATTCCATGTGCTTTAATTTTCCTCAATAGTCTCTGATGTGGGACCCTGTCAAAAGCCTTACTGAAGTCCATATACACAATATCATATTCATTACCATGATCTACCTCCTCAAATACCTTAGTGAAAAAAGTTAATAAATTCGTAAGGCAGGAACGCCCTTTGTAAAACCATGCTGAGATTCGTTGATTAATTTATGCTTTTCAAGGTGGCTACGAACTGCCTCGGCAATTATTGATTCCATAAATTTTCCCACTATGGAGGTTAGGCTTATTGGTCTATAGTTCGAAGCTAAGGACCTGTCACCTGTTTTGAAAATAGGTATCACATTTGCCATTTTCCACTTATCTGGCACCATGCCAGTTTGTAGTGATATGTTGAAAAGATTAGCCAAAGGTGTGCTAAGCTCCTCTTTACATTCCTTTAGAACCCTTGCATACAGTTCATCAGGGCCTGGGGATTTGTTAGGTTTTAATTTATCTATTTGCCTAAGGACCATGTCACTTGTGACCCTAATAGTGCACAGTTTATTATCGTCCTGTTCTACATAATTTATCATTACTGGAATATCGCTGGTATCCTCCTGTGTAAAAACTGAGAGGAAGTATGTGTTAAAAATTCTACACATTTCCTTATCACTGTCAGTGAGCTGACCCGAGGAACTTTTGAGTGGGCCTATCTTGTCCCTGATCTTACTTCTGTATACCTGAAAGAATCCTTTTGGGTTAGTCTTCGATTCTCTTGCAACTTTAACCTCATAATCTCTATTTGCTTTTTAATTCCCTTTTTTATTTCTCTCTTTAACTGAATATATCGATTTCTTAATTGCCCCTCTCCTCTTTTGATTTGCCTATATATGCCTCTCTTTTGACCAATCAGATATTTTAATCTATTGTTCATCCATTTAGGATCATTTTTGTTTGATCTGATTTCCCTATTTGGAACATAATTTGACTGAGCAGCTAGAACTATGCCCTGGAAAGCATCATATCGGCAACCATCACCACCTACCTGACCCCTAGTCAGGTCATTCCAGTTCAGCCCCCTAAGTAATTTTTCAGTCCTATGAAATCAGCCAAGCGAAAGTCAGGGACGGAGACTTGATTGCCATTATTAGGGGGAAATTCCATGCTATGTTAAAACTGAGTGATTTGTGATCACTCTCCCCAAGTCATCATTAACCTCAAGATTATTAATTAGTGTTTCCCTACTGGCAAGAACCAAGTCAAGGAGGTTATTTCCCCTAGTTGGCTCTGTCACAAACTGTTTTAAAAAAACAATCCTGGATCGTATCAAGAAAGTCACCCGACTCTAAATTTCCTGTCAAATTGCTCCAGTCAATCTGTCTATAGTTGAAATCTCCCATTAGCACAACATTTTCGTATGTAGATGCCTTACGAATTTCGTCCCATAGAAGTTTACTGCACTCCCTATCAAGATTTGGGGCCCTGTAAATCACACCCAAAATTAGTTTTTCTCGGCCCTCGAGAAGCTGTAACCAAACAGATTCAGTGGCTGACGCTTCTAATTTAATATCTTGTCTAACACAACAATTTAAATTGTCTCTGACATACATCGCTACTCCACCACCTTTCCTGTTGACCCTGTCAGTGTGGAATAATTTATAGCCTTGTATGTGACATTCAGAGGGCATCTCTCTATCTTTCAGATTGAGCCAGGTCTCTGTTATAGCAATAATATCTATGTTTCCTGCACTTGCAATTAATCTTAGCTCATCTATCTTATTTCTAACACTCCTGCTATTAGTATAGTAAACCTTAAGGGAGCTAGTCCCTTGCTGCCCTCTGCTGTCCCCCTTTGTTTGCTGACCTGTTCTATTGTCTTTATTTATAACTTCATGCTGAATGCCTTTTATACATTTACTGTTTCCAACCCTAGTGTTGCAACCTGCTTGTTTCCCACACACACCCATACCTCTATCTTCCATCAGTTTAAAATCATAGGCATTTCACCAATGGCCTTCTCAATCGAGTCTGCAAGTGCTACCACCCCTGCCCCAGAGAGATGAACCCCATCCCTTGCATACATATCATGTTTGCCATAAAAGTTGTTCCAGTTGTCAATGAATTGGGATTGCAAGTTCCTTGCAGTATCTGTCTAGCCAGCAATTTACACCAATTGCCCTAGACAACCATTCATTTCCTACTCCCCTTCTAGGCAAGATGCTACATATGATTGGGATCCCTCCCTTAGACTTAATGAAATCTATAGCTGACCTGTACTTATCTAGCAGCTCTTCTCTCCTACCCTTCCCAATATCATTTCCACCAGCACTGAGACAGATAATGGGCTTGTTCCCATTACCTGACATGATATTATCCAGTCTGTTGACAATGTCCCCAACACCAGCTCCAGGGAAGCACACTCTATCTCTCATCTTCTTATTCCTATTACAAAAAGCACGATCAACATATCTTACCTGAGAGTCACCAACCACAAGAATGCGCTTACCTTCATTAGCAGGGGCAGTAGTACCCTTACCTTCACTGGCCACTGAAGTACATTCATCCTGGAGAACAGAGAAGCGATTTCCTACCTTCAGATCTGCACTCTTAACTTTCCTTACTCTGATGCGCCTCCCATTACTGTGAACAACTCGCCACTTGTAGCAGGTGCTGGCCTTCACCTCACTGCTGGTAGCCGTTGCTACCACCCCACCTACAGCCTCCTCACAGTGAGAGACAGACTGCACCTCACTGCTAGAAGCCTCATTCCCCACATCTCCAACCACCTCACACTCTCTCCCAGGCCCATTGAGGTGGACCTTCAGCCTCCTAATCTCCTCCTGGAGAAGCAAGACCTCCTCCTTCAACTCTCCAACCTCAGCTTTTAAAACACTGTAGAAGCAAGCCATGCTTTGTAACCGTCCACGCTAATCCCCAAGCAGCTCAGGGTCTGTGACCTCACGTGACGACTGACCACTGAACACTCATTAACTGTAATGAGTTTTAATGGCAGTTACAATGAACATAGATGCATTGTCAAAT